TACAGCTACAGTTGTGTTGCTGGGTTTTAAAGCAGGTTTGATTTTTTTTTTTCTTCCTTATCACTCTGTATTTACAGGATTTCACTGTCCACTCTGTTCAAATGTGGATGAATGGCTACACATAGATGTGTGCACACACTGTCAGAACTGTGTGAGATCACTACCATCCTGCTTTTGTGGGGGTGGGTAGGGGTGTTCAATAATGTTTTTTGTTTTGTTTTTTCCCCATTGGTTTTTAACATTCTAAAAGCTCTTTATTCCAAATATACTACAAGCTAGTCAGTGTATTCAGCAGGTGTAATGTATTCTAAGTTGCTTCAGAAGTATTGCAAGTATTACAAACAACAATAATAAAACAGTGCATTGACATAAAGGAAATTTACTTTTGGTACTTAAGTACTTTTAAAAGCAAGTACTTCTGTACTTTTACTTAAGTAAAAATCTGTCTTTACAACTTTTACTTGTAATGGAGTAATGTTTGACCAGCAGTATCTGTACTTTCACTCAAGTAATGGAGTTGAGTACTTTGTCCGCCTCTGAACAAAACTAAAACTTTGTTTCATAACAAAAGTAACCTGCTCGTCTTGTCTGCCAACGGGTTTTTCACTGTGTGAGAACATGATGTTTGACGTGAGAGTGCCATAGCTTGTCAGACATAGCAACCGTATCAAAGATGGGTGGATCTTTGCGAAGAGTAAATTATGCACACAAAAATACAGGATACAAGGAAAAGAGATCACAGTCCTCTGCATGGTTCAACAAACAAGAAAGAAAATGAGAAACTGTGCACAGGTGCCATTTATGAGGCCCGTGAGAGTGTCCTGACTGGCATGAGATTGAGTGGGTGGAGCTGGGTGCTCGCATCAGGAGCTGAACACAGACAGCAAAAACTTTGAATTAAATTAATACATTTAGTTAGATCCAAAGAATAAAACCAAATATAATATAATGGAAATGTATGAACTGTTGCACCACAAAAACCTTCTTTACCTTGTTGAACAGTTAAATACAAAGGTTTTTTGTCATCTAAGTTTGCATGATTGCCGATCTCCACAGCACACCAGTAACATCCAGAGTCTGAAGACATTGCATTGCTTCGAGTTTCACAGTAAAAAAAAAATGGGCTGGATAACCAGTTATTGTCCGTTTCCGTGGGCTGTAATTTGGCAAAATTCCCACGTAAACCCTTTACACCAGTATTCTGGGTTTAGTTTATATTGATTATCATACAGACAGGGGACTGTAATGCTTCCTCCTTCTGCAATGGTTACATAATCTAATGTCTTCAAAGTTACTGTAGACACACAGACACTGGTTTCATTTGTTATAGGAGACATTTCATTTCATATCATTTCATAAGTAAATAATCAGTGATCCAACCTCATGGCTGCTAAAACATTTGAAAAAAGTTGTGAAATTAAAACGTTTAATTTGTGTTTTACAGCACAACATCAATTATGTATTAAACTGAACAGCTTTAAAGGGAAAAACAGGAGTTAGACAAAATTCAATTAAATTCAAGTTTATTTGTATAGTGCACAGATATTATTCACATAGCTATGAGAAGCATTAAACATGGACACGCAGGCGATTGCCGTGGTAGTGAGCAATACTTGCTGGCAAACACTTTTTACTGTTACAAAAATGCTACAATGCAATCATGTATTCTGCTGTATTAAAGCTTTAATCAGGATAAAACCGTATATTAAAAGCTAACATAAGCAGTAGCATTTACAAATAACAGCGTATCTAAAAGTATGAGACAACAACAAACAAACATACCATTCTGAAACGTCCTGTAAGAGCCGTGCTTGCACAGGTTCTGTGCGATCCTCTACACTAATATCCTCTGTCTCAATCGGGCTCAAATTGATAAGCAATATTGACAACGCCATTGTTTACAATACAACCGGAGCGCATGCAGCTGAGGTGAGGGGCGTGACGATCTGCAGTCTAACATGTGTTAATGCTTTGTTTAAAAAAAAATAAAAAATTCATTATTTTTCACATACTGTAATTTACCTTTATTCTACACCGTTCTGTCCTTTCTCCTATGAACGCTCTGAAGATTTCCTGGTTTTATGAAGCCCCTCCCTCAGAAATACGCAATGGGCTCAGATTGGTTAGCTGGCCCAGTGCATTGTGATTTGCTAAACCGCCTCTAGTGCCATGCTCTTGACCATGGTAGTTTGCATAGAAAGCTCTCGGATTTCATCAAAAATATCTTAATTTGAGTTCCGAAGATGAATGAAGGTCTTACGGGTTTGGAACGACATGAGGGTGAGTAATGACAGAATTTTCTTTTTTTGTGAACTATCCCTTTAAGTAGTAGATCAGTATGTTGGATTTCTCAATCCAAACTTAACTAAAGTACATTGAGAGAAAGTCAATGCATTTTTCAGTACTTCAGAATACTTTTATTGAAATTCAGCTAGCTGTTTTTATTAACACAAACAGAGACACAAGTAGAATATTCCACAAATAAGCTGAAAGTGAAGAAATTAAACACTTAAATAGAAATAATAACTGTACATACTTTTAAAAAGAACCCAATTTTCTCAGGAGAGGTCTTTTAATACACACACACACACACAAAAAAAAAAAAACAGGTAGTTATAAACTACGAACTTCATTTACAATCGTTTCCATTTTTGACCCTGACATCAGTTCATATGGGTCCTTTTGAAAATAAAATCTTAGGTTAAAAGTTCACAACCAATGTGCAATGAAAATCAAGAGGAAAAAGTCAACTGTATGAGTGGATTCAGTGTTTGTGTTTTTTGGATTTAAGACAAAAAAAAAAAACTACCAAAAAAGTTGTGGTGTGATAATCCTCTGTTATTGATTTTGTTTATGTTGGTCAGAAGGTTCTGTTCTTGAGTTGTTCTCACTGTTGCTGTCAGTGTGGACCCACAGTACTTTATGTTATGCTGTATATTGTTCCACCTGCTGGAGGCTTCTGGAAGTGTGAGATCATTTCAAATTTACTGCCAGCAGAACCACAAATAAATACACAATATCAATATTTCTGTAAAACTTACTTCTTCACTCCCAGGAACATGATCAATAGTACTGTAGGTTATGTTCTTGTTGGGATCCTGTGGAGAAAGGATACAGCATTCATGTCTGAACTTTCATAACTTTAGTGGTATGTCTGTTCTACTTACATTAGGGTTTTCATCATTTATAGTGTTGTATATCACAGGATCTTCAGGTTTAGAGTAGATCTGCATTTCACAAAAACACAACACAAAACAATATAGAAGAAATTTTAAAGGGGTCATATGATGCTGCTAAAAGTAAGGCATGTTATTCGCAATTATGTGTTGTGGCTGGGGTGTTATAGGTCTGCATGACTCTCTTAGGCCTAACTGAACGGAGGAATTATGGTATTCTTCTGTAGCCTGACGACGAGTAACTTTACCTTAACCGTTGTTCATGTGAACTCAAAGACAGCCTGATGCTTTGTTTATAGACTATTTGTGGGTGGCTGTTTGTTGTTTCACCTATCAATTCGTGTTGATAAAGTATAATAGGGTAAATCCTGTATAGTGATTTATCCTATATAGTGCTAGTGCTATATAGGTCAAACTGACTGGGTCTCTGTCTCCATCTCGAGATGAAAACAACAATCAGAATCAATAACAGCAGAAGCGCAGCTGAAACTGGAAGCCACACAGTCAGGAGTTCATTATATCTGTGGGAAATATAGAAACATTTTACAATCTTGCTATTTAAAGAGCTCCAAAAATGATGTGGGACTAATTCAGCTGCATAAAAAGCACCAGAAAATAAGCAACATCTTAAATAACCTTTATTTAACTCTGTTAATGTATTTCAGCCTAATAGTCAATTTGTTTAAGCTTTATTTTATTTTAAAGAACACAGATGTAGTTTGTAATCACGTTTGTGATTTGTCATTGACTTCAGGTGTATTCTTGTGAAGTACACTTGCACTTCTGAAAAGATGAAAAACAGAAAAGAAAATCACGAAGGCAATGAGGAAATTATTGTTAGAGTTTAAAAGCAAAGAAATCAAGTGCATGACGACAAAACGCAGACAAACACAGAATAGATCTAGGTAAATGATTCTGAGAGGAGAAATATCAATGAGAAATGTTTGTATACTTTTAGCATAACGTTCTTGAAGTGCTATATTTTGAATGGCGCATAGCGCATCACTGATAACTGCATAACTGATGCACTGTGAGGAAAATAAACGATTAGGCTATTAGCTTAGGCTACTCCTCATTGAAAGTGTTTTAAAAATGTCTTAGAACAGGTCTATTAGTTGCGATGTATTTTAAAGCAAAGTTGTGGTTGATTTCGACTTCACACACAAACGTAAGTAGAATAAGCTAATTAAATTGGTCTTTATTTTAACGTAGCTTAATACAATAAAATATGATTTAACCCTCAACCGTCCCGCCCAAACCTATAACAAAATTGTCCCTCGCGGGTCAAAATGACCCGAAGGCCAAAAAATACACTTTTTTTTTTAAGCTTATATTGGTCCATTTTTATAATTTGTATGTAATACATTTTATGTAGGTTTTTTTATTATTATTTTTTGGTGATTTTTATTGTATTCACAATAAATTCTGGATATTTTTATTTAAAAACGTAACATATTTTTATACAGTTTTTTTTTTTCAGCAAAAAAAACAAAACAAAGAAAGACACAATTTCTGCATATTTATACTTTAAACATGATGATCCATCAGGACCTAGGTCACTGAGTGTCTCTGATGCCATCTGGTGGGGGAAAATTACATAAAATTGCATTTTATGATTACAGCCACTAGGGGCCTTTAGAATCGTATAGAGTCTTAAATGAGCCAAACAAGTGAAATCTTTAAAACTACACCAACTTAATAAGGCTTCATTAAGCAGTTTCATAAATATAAAAGATACATTTAAAAATATAAATATGATATAAACTCATTGGTCTCCACCCCATCACTCAAATTTAACTGTAAGTAAAAAAAAAAAATTCGAAATGACAGTCATTTCCCAGCATGTGTTTTAATGGGAGTGTGTGTGCCATGTGTGTGTTTGTGTGTGTGTGTGTGTGTGTGTGGGTATGTGAGTTTTTTGTGCATTGGGGACATTCTGCAGTCTCAGCCCTTTGTTTGGGTATGCATCTTTTCTGGATTGTGTCAGATTTTTATAGTAAAAAAATCTAATAAATAAAAAAATGCTGTTTTTTTCGTACATTCCATTCATTCCTATGGCCGGGTCAAAATGACTCACTAGGGACATTTTTTGTTACTTTTTTATTACACCCACATAGAATCCTCGAATCGACTCAGATTTTTTGTGTGTACTCCATGCTCAAGTGTGACAAAATTTAATAAAAAAAATCTGCAGTTTTTTCGTAAATTCCATGCTTTTCCAGTGGCGGGTCAAAATGACCCCATTCCCTTCGCCAGGGGAGTTCCAAACGCTTATTCGAGACAGTAATGTCCTACACCCTTCAAAGAACACACTTCAAAAGCTCTGCACTTCAAAGGGAGTAGGGCATAGGGATGCTCACTTCCGTTTGCCCTATGACATAACGAATCTTGCAACATGAAATGAAAAAAAGACTTTGGCAGTTTGATACGCGCTCTGACTTGCTGGTTGTAAACAAATGATTCACAAAAGCTTCAAAGCTTGACTTTTTTTTTTTTTTTCTTTCAGTTAGTACAAAATGTGTATAAAATTTAGATTTAAGCTGTGTAACAACTGCTGTAATATTAGAAATCAAGATCTTGTTTTGCAAACCACTGGTATAACTAAACATTAGGCTAACTAAAATAAGAAAAATACCTTTAAAACTATCCACAGCAGCAATGACCATGAGCAGCATCATACTGAAAAGTCACAACCTTCCCAGGGCAATTGTTCAGGCATATGACGACACCAGGGGCAAGTTCAAGCTCAAACCGGTGCACAACGTTTTGCTACAGTTTCCGGTTTGAACGACATGTTTCCTGGAAACGGTGTGCAACGGGGTTTGAGATGCGGTTTCTCTTGTTTGGTGGGTGTGTCAAACATGTCAGCCCAATCAGCAGCAACATGTATATAAACCACACGGTATTAAAGAGACAGCTCGCACAATGTAATTAACATCCAAATAAATTCACAAGAGCAAGTATATTGTTTGCACATGTTTATTTACATTAAAGGCAAAATAACTGAAATGATAAGAGTTTCTAAGAAATAAGAAATGCTAAGTATAGATCTGGAACTTCTTTAAGTCTGTCTAAATATCATTTAGTAATTGCAATGTCTTCTGGTCCATATCCTTTCCCTAGGAAGGCGTGCTAGACACTGATTAATGTAACATAAAAATACACATATTTATATATTTTGCTATTGTATTATGGAGTGACACTTTCATAAACTTTTCTATACTCCTCTGATTATATAATGGTAAATATTACAATATCATAGCACAACAACAGTGATCAGCAATAATGATAAGCCTAATACTCACAATAAAAATAATAAGGTCATATAGATCATAACACAGTCTCGGAGGTAAGAAGTGGATTATCCTTCACCTGAAATGTTTGTCTTTTCATCCTGAAATGCGAGGCAAATGTTGGATCACAATAATTAGGAACCACAGTTTGCACAAATCCCTTCACTCAATTGGGATGTTCTCTTTTATTCTGGAGGGCAAGGGCAGTGACTGTACCATCGAGCGTATTTTACAGTATTAAACACGTATTTATACCGATTTCATCAGGCTCCGAAAATTCTTCAAAAAGAACACAAAGAATGGCCTTCTCAGCTGCCGTAGTTGCAACTCTTGAGTCATCAGAACAGAGTGCAACGCACCACCGTTTCCGTTTAAAAAATGGTTTTGCACCGTTTTGTCGGGACTGAACGCAGCCCTGCTGATTGACTGGAGACATATGACTAAACAAAACAGTCGCATCCCACTGCATTTTCCAAAAAGCAGCATCTTGTTCAGTGAAGTGAGTCTCATGTAGAAAAACACAGTTACCCTTGCTTTCTGGAATGCACCCTTGAAGCCTCGCATATTCCAAGTTAGTTACAAATTCTATAAAATTCTGTTAGTGCACATTCTGAAATACTAACCTTGAAACAATCCCACACTAGTTTTTTATTTTTTTAAGTATTTTGGCTTGTTTTCTCTCAACTTAAAACAAACTTTTTTTAAATTATTTCTGAAACAACGAATGTACTGTTTTTATTTATGTATGTATGTATTTATGTGTATATTTATTTATTTATGATTTGGGACTCAGGATCAAATGAGTTGTATGATTTGTTAAACCAGCTAACTCTCTGTGGACAGTATCATCAATAAATCATAAATACTTAATCATAAATACAAAGTTACAGATTCCAGTCTTAGGCTTTTCTGTATTGATTTAAAGCTTCTATGACTCTGTTTGCTAATCGTTTAAAAAGAAAGCTGGTAAAAACATTTTGGTGAAAATGCTTTCAGCGATGATATACTATATGTATCCCGTTTTTAATTTTTTTTTGTATTGGTTCAATTAAAAATAAAATAAAAATAAAATAAAAATAAAAAAGGCTGCGCCGCTCTTGCGTCAAAAAAGTTGACTATTACTAATTAATTAAACTGCTAAACTATTTAGCTCTGGAACTCTATAAATACATTACATATGAAAAAAACGCATAAATGAACTGATTTAACCTACACACAATTATAGGGCATTACAGACAACCAGCACCGGTTACTATGGCAAATAATGAAAGGAATTATTGTGCAAAAGTGTGAATGAAAGTTCAGGATGTTCAGGTGTGACAAATCCATTTCAGAATTTAAGCTAAAATGTTAGAAAATGTGCGAAAAACTCACTGAGATATTAAATACTGACAATGACAATATCACACATGTGAGATGATTCTTGGACGACACAAAAGCTGCATGAACTGTGCGTTTTAATAAATGTTGATATGGATTTATTGAACAGACAAAGAAATGCATAAGAAATTATATCGCTCATGTTTATGTAGAGGTAAAATTGTCCAACAGATGGCGCTACACATACAGAAAAGACATAAAAATATATATAAGCAAAGTGTGTAAGCAAGGTATATAAACTATTTCATGCAGACACTTATTGTTTTTTTAAAAAGGTGCCATTGAAATGAATAAAAGTACAATTTAATTTAATATTAAAACTAAACTTATTTTAAAAAACGATTTCATTGCAACTAACAAAACTGCATTTACTGTATGCAACCCTAAAAATGATGTAGGCCTAATGTGGACTTAAAAGAAAGCGTGAGTAGAAACATTACAGAATATTTCAACTCTTTCTAAAGTGTTGATTTGGTCATGAATTCATTCTGGAATATACCTGTAATATGCATATCTACTTTAGAAATGCACTTCAAAACTATGTACAGTAAGCCTTGAATAATTCATTTTGCTTTCACAGTATTGCCAACCAGCATATGACTCACAAGTTTTAGTAGCAAACGTTAAGCACTGAACCTTCACACTGTCTAAACTGAAATGAATTAATTTTATTAATTTACAATTATTGACTTTCGCTTTCTAATAACTTCATTCAGAACTCACAGGCTTGGGAGTTTATTTCACAGAGCTGTAGATCACTTCACCTTCTGAATTCACTGATGATGAAGGCTGTGAATAAACAAGATCAGCTCTGAGAACCCTTAGTGTGTCATTTCAGTGCCACAAGTGTCACATAATGGATATGCAAAAATAGTGATAATTTACAAACAAATTTCCCTTTTTAACTAGACAAACATACAACCCCTGCCAAAACTGCACATCACTTTTACAAAAATCTCAAGAGGAGACACTTACTGCTTTACGAAAGGTAATCACAGAACTGTAAATCACTGAATTATCATCCACTGAGGCAGAGGACTGTGAATAAACACACATGACGGTCATTCATTTGCAATCAGCATCTCAGTAAATGTTCATGAGTTTTGGGTGAATGTGTTCTTCTCTGAAGACTTCTGAATTGCATCAGTATGTTAATAAAATCCTAAAATACTTACTGTATTTCTGGTGCTGTTCAAATGCCCTTCTCTAATTTGACCCCTCTCTGTCAAAGTGAGATATGAAGATTAAATCCCATAATATTTTACATTATTAACATCAATTGAATCTTTCCAATCCACAAAAAGTTATTTCTAGTGAAAACATGTTCTATAGATTTGTATGTTCTTCACACTAAGAAAAAAAGGTTCTTCTAAGAACTGTTCACTGATAGGTTATTTGTGGAACCAAAATTAGACTTAACAGGGGTTTATGAATAAAATACACAAATAGTATAAAATACTATTTATTTTATACAGCCCTCTGGAATGCTTGATTCTGATTGGTCAATCTAATCATTCTGTGGTCAAATGTGTTTGCATCAAGACGATGAACTTTATATTCGATATACCCGATCTCATAAAAGTGCGTATAAATAGTACGCCAAATAAAAACGAAAACTCGTGGTATTGATACGCAAAAATGGACTTTGGCGTGTATATGCTACGCGATGGGTAGGTTTAGGGTTGTGGGGTAGATGCGTATCATATGCACGCGAAAACTGCGTATTATATGCACGCCAAACACATGCGTATCATATGCACGCCAAAGTCCATTTTTGCGTATCAATACCACACGTTTTTATTTGGCGTACTATTTATATGCATTTTCATGAGACCGGGCTCGATTTTTCTATAAATGTGCTAGTTGGATGCCTCTCGAGTCACTTTATTATCTCCTTTATAAATATATATTATGTCCATTTATTTATTTATGAGAAACTCACCCGGCTTTTTTCTCAGCCTCCAGGTTACTATGGCAACAAGAGTAACAATCAGTAACAGCATAAACATCGAAAGCAAACACGTGACCAGAATCACATCAGACCTGTAGTGATGAAGAGATATATTTGTTTTTATCATAACAGCAGCAGGTTAATCTTGTAAAGCTTTGTTTGTAATTTAGAGATGTCATTTCAAGCAAATGCCTTAAATAGCTACTTGTTTTGCTCATCCGTGCTGCTGTGTATTTCAGTATTAACAGTCTCTGAGGCTGCTGTTAGAGATGGATGGGTTTCAGCTCTGCAATTAAAAATAACATTACTATGGTGCATGTAACAGTCTGGCAATACAGTTACTATTATGAATGACTGAATAACAATGTTTACATTTACCTGTCTGTCTCAGGTTTTGAATCAGTAATCATAGCTCTTGGAGAAACAAGTTTCTTAGTTTGAGCATAATGTTATCATTATAGCTGTTTGTTATGGAAGCCCATTTCCAAGAAAATACATTCTTTGGCTAATCAGAATTCTGACATAAAAAGTAGAAACGTTGTATGTAATAATTATAACTTTTTATCTCGAAAATTTGACTTTGTCATAATTGTAACTTTTAATCACAAAGTTATGACTTACGTATGTCATAATTGTAACTTTTATTTCAAAATGTCAACTTTCCAACTATTTATTTTTGTCATAAATTTTTATTTTAGTTTAGTTTTAGATTTCATGTTTTATCTCATAATGTTGACTTTTTACATCAAATTTTGACTTCTCATCTCATCATTTTGACATAATTGTGATTTACCAAAACATGATTTATTATGTGGCAGAAATGTGTTTCCATAGTATATGGTGCATCCAGAATATTTTACGTTGACTTTTATGGTTTTTCAGATAAATTGATGATTTTATACATTTCATATCTTGATTAGCTATTACTGTTCCTAAGCAGTCTGATAAACTCTGTGTAACGGTTCCTTACTGTTTATTATTCATTTGCGCCTGCAAAAAAAATGTAAATTTTTTTTTTTAAATATATAAAAAAATATGTTGTATCTGTTTGGAATAACATGATAGAGATCATTTATTTTAGGTAAAAAATAAAATAAAATCAAAACTAATATTTACAGAATAAAATGATGTTTTTATTAAAAAAAAAAAAAAAAGACTAAACAATCTATCACTATAGAGATTCACAGCATATAAACTGAAAGTTTTTGCCTTTTTACAACCCCTGGTTGTGATGTCACATTGGTCAAGTATGTTTACACCTACATGTCTGCCTCAGAGTCAGATGGTGCAGTTGCCGGAATAGTTGTAAATGCTTGAAAAGAAACAAAAATATTCTAGTTTTAATAAAATTAAGTGTGTCACCATGGCTAAACTGGTTTGTGATCTTGCCTCTTTTGGGTTCAGTGACCGTGAGTTGAACAGGAACCTGCAGATCTCCAGCAGAGCAGGAGTACCAGCCAGAATCAGTCAGTCTCAGTCCAGTCATCAGCACAGTGAAGAAGGTTCTCCCATCATCATCATCACTGATCTGGACTGATGAATTCTGGGATGTGTCGGTCCTCCCCACTGTGTAACAGCTCTGATCTTTAATTCTGCACCACTGTTTGAGTTTATTCTGATATCTAGAACTGTAGAGACACTTAACACTGATATCACCACCTTCATGTCCAGAGACACTGCTGCTCACCACAGACACATCAGGAGCTGAACACAGACAAAAGGATCAATAAGATTTTTAAAATCAAATGGCTTATTGTTTCTAAAATGTAAATGTGTACATTTTATTGATATCATAAAGTATTTACTTATTGTGTATATAGTATCTTATTTGAAGCCAGTAAAGTTTTTAAAAACAATTCTGGAACTCTTTCCTTACCAAATGTAACCATGCGATTTTAATATTTAAAAAACAAAAAAACAAAAAATGGTTATAGTTAAACTAGTCATGGTTTTCCTAAACTAACCATAGTTTAACCACAGTATTTGTAGTAAATAGTATTTTTGGTTATAAAAATGAATTAATTAATAGGCTACGCCAAAAAAAAACAAAAAAAAAACATGGTTACTATATGTTTACTGTAATAAAACCATGGTTAATTTGGTAACACTTTAGAATAATGGTCCGTTGTTAACAAGTAGCTAGCCGACTTATTTGGGGGATATCAAATTCATAAATTAGTTTCCACAAAGAACCCAATTGTTCACTTTTAAGATGTTACTGTTGTGATTAGTAATTCATTGGTTATTCTTTATTAACTGGTCATAGTTCGCAAGTAGTTCTCAATGAGGATTTTTTTTTTTTTGTAGTAATTATCAAATATCTAATAAGGAACTACCTTTGTCCTAAATTTGCTACTACTTACTGCTTAGTTAATCTTGCTCCTGTAGTACTACCTATTACTTCCTGCATAGTTACTTGTTAACAACGGACCATTATTCTAACGCGTTACCGTTCATTTTTTGTAAGGATTACAGCTGTCCAATCGGACGTGCATTCTTCCGCCGATGCGCACGGAACAGCCTAGCTACTAAAATACACTGAGGTGAAATTCGAAATAGTAGACCTCTATTTCAATTTGCCATTCTGCTTTCAGCCAACGTCGCACTTGCACAACAACACGCTTATTTAATCAGCATTCAGCGATCAGATTAATCCGATCCAGAACGATTTTTACTCAGTCGGTTCTGAGTAAAATACAGTGGTCCGATTAATTCTTGAGCCGGTTTTTACTTTAGTACTGTATGAACCATTCGCCACGGTTTCTGTGATCTGATTCACTGCAAACCGGAATCGTTCAGAGGAATTATAATCGTAATTAGCGTTTATATTGGGTAACTTGGGTAAAGAAAAATAATGATTTCTCGGTAATTAAGCACAATTGTGGCCACATCGGTTCACATTAAGTTAGTCATTGCCCTGTCAAGTTCTCCTTTTTTAGTTATTCTTTTTTTTAGCTACAGAAATAAATATCTATCACACATAATCCAACAACAACCTTTTATATGATTTATAACATTACTTAGCCACATTATTACAATAATTTGGAATTTGGAAAGATATTCTTACCTGATCGTACCGTCAGATACAAATAATAACCGGCGTCTAGAGTGTTATAGTCACCGATCTCCACAGCACACCAGTAATATCCAGAGTCTGAGGTCTGCAGATTCTCCCACTGCACTGTAAAAATACTCTGGGCTGGATAATCAGTGAGGGAATATTTTCCTGTCTCATTTGCATATGTCAAAATAATGCAAGAGACCCAATATGACCCCTCACACCAGTATTTACGGTTTTCTTTATGTTTTTTATCATATAGACAGGGGAAAATTCCAGGTGATCCAGATTTCACTCCGATATTCAGTGCATTAATTACAGCTTCATCTGTAAACAAGATTAAATGAAAACATCCATAAACTGCACATGTACGAAACGTAAGAATTAAAAGCTCAACGAATTCAAGTTAAACAATTTTAAAAATGCAAGTTTAACAAAACACCATGCAATAGTTTAACAACGCTAATTACAAGAGAGAATTGTAAGTGTTTTATTACTACCTGAGATGTGAAGTAAAATCCCAGAGAGAATCAGAGTGTAAATCATAGCGGAGTGCATGTGCATGAGAGCTGGTCAGGTCTTGCAGTGTCTGTGTTTCCTCATGTTTCAGAGGAAGAGCAGAAATATCGCCTTAAACCACATAAGCACCAACAAGTGAGCCAATTTAGCCAGTTTGCAGCCAGCAATCTCACACTAGCAACAACAAATACATATTTTATTTATGGGCTCTATTTTGATTTGTGAATGTATGTTAACAGTAATGTAATTACTGTCGAAATGTTTAAGAAATAATGTCTGAGCAGATGACTTTCTGCATTTACTGCGACTGATTGAACAACATTTTTCTATATCAGCCACTAATTTGACAACTATTAACGCGATTAAAGCACACAAACTGTAATGTTTAATTGTAAGGTTATTTTTATTATTGTTCAATCATTTTCATTTGTGCTGTTTTACAACATTTATTTCTGTTTATATTTTTTATTTAAAACACTTCAAATAAAATGGGGTTGAGTTGAGGGAAAGGGTTCATGGGGGTTGGTATAAATTATTTTGAAAAAGCAAAATTTGATTAACAAAATAAAAGCATGTTCAAACTCTAAACTGTCAGAACAGCAAAACATTTGTAGCATGAGATAAAAGAAAATTATATCAAAGTTTGAGAAAACAATGCAAAAAGTGTCTAATATAAAAAAGTAATCTTACTTAAAAAAATATTTTTTTTAAATAACCCCTAATTATGTATTACATTTTTTCCTAACTATTATTAATTTAACAGTAAATAATGGTTGGGGAAACTTTCATCAGATTTCACCAGACATTTTTAATATCTGATCTGTTCTCTCCTCTTATAAAGCTATGCTGAACATGTTTGTGCAATTACTAACAAGTGAACTACAGTATACATTTTTGTAAATGCAGTTATGCTGGTATTTTCATAATAAAACGTCTGCTGTTTGATATCATGTTCGCCACTATTTTTCTTTTTTGATATATGGAGGCCCCATTTCTTCTCTGTATCTCAGAAGAAGAAAGAATCTTTAAGTACAGTTCTGTGTTGCATTGGTTCCTGTAATGAGCGTGCTGAACTTCTGAGCAAAAAATAAAATAATGTGAGAATCTGCACTGTGGGTGTTGGACAGAAATCAACCACAAAAACATAAGAACAGAAGCAGTGCTTAAACATTCAAGCAGAAACACTGACTTCTGCTCCACTTCCAGTGCCGATCAGTGTAGACCAGAGTGCAACAGCAGCAGGCCGATACATACATATGACCTCACCACAAAGTGTGTGATACATTTATACAGAATGAGCAGACCATCTTTGTTGACGGCATGCAAAAGCTGTGTATACTTATTAGAAAATAAGGCATAGGACAAGGATAGGAACCTGAAACCAAGACACATACAACTGCAAAATACTTTTATTTAATTTTAAATATGCTTGTTTGTATTCATGCAAACAACAGAACACTGTAAAAGTAAACTTAAAGTGATTTTTACAATGAAGAAATTAAACAGAGATACTATAGTACAAAAAAAAAAAAAAAAACACTACAAAAAAAATTGTGATGACAATCCTCTGCTGCTAATTTTGTTTCTCTTGGTCAGGAGCTTCTGTGTTCTTGTGTGAAGGGACCGGAATCGGCCGATTTTCCTCATGATCGGCCAGGATCGGTGATCGGCCGGTCATGCCGAGTTCACACTGCACGATTTTAGCCCGATTTTTCACTCGCCGACAGGTTTTGCGAAATCGCCGACAAATGCTGTGTTAAATTAGTAGGGATGGGCGTATCGATCCTAAGTATCGATATATCGATACTGACGCGAGTACCGAAAGTATCCATACTCAAACTAAAAATATCGATACTAAGGGTGTGTTTTATTTACCAGTGATTTTGTTTATTTAAAATAATAATAATAATGCGTACAAATGCATTGCCGCGCTCAGTCTCAAACAGCTTGTGAGCCACAAATACCAAAATGAGTGGCTAACTGCGCTAAAACGTACAAAATACATACAAAATTATGTCAAAATGCCCGTCTTGGCGAGTATCCAGTTAAACACAGTTGGTTTTGGAACATTAAATAGTTGAGAAAGACAATGCATGTTGTGTAACAGTATATTGGGTCCGTGGATAAACTCTCTTAAAGGGACCGCAGTCCAATATTTATGCTGCTGTCTGTCATGTTAATCAAAGAACAAAAGACAAAGAAAATC